AAGTATATTTTTACTTAAAACACCTTACTTCAGTAAAGGTGAATAGAGGCAGAATGTTATAGACTACGGTAATTTTCAACCAATACTTCGCTTAATTTGACGCAAATTAGCTGTTCTTTGTTTATTTAATTTTCAGTCTTTAACCTGACAGTATTCTAGAAATTAACCTCAGTCTTCTTATCTTTCTATATCTTTTCACATTTTTAAGAATTAATTTTGTAATTATAACAGCTACATCGTTGAAATTTTTAAACAGTTCTTCTTTTTGTGCTACTGTTCACTGGTAAATCTTTGAAAAAAAAAAAACATTTTTTTAATGTATCAGTAGAAAAAAGAGACTGTTATTTGTTGTAACTAACCGGCACCGAGTAGACTATTTCTTGATTTGGCCAAACTTTCTCCGAGTAGACGTCGATAATAGAAAGCAAGTTTAACAAACTGAGGATTCCATATTAGCACATCAGGTAATGAACTAAATTTGGCAGTTGTAAGGCAGTTTTTAAAACATTTTTGGTTTTAGAACCGGTTTAAATTCTTGGAGAATTTTAGGTATTAAAACTTTTACAATTCAATAAACTTTATTCTTTTCAACGAGAACACAATTATCAGAAAATTCAAGTTCTCACTTACTCAGCAAAACTAACGTCATTTCTGGAGAAGTCGCTAACTTTAAAATGTAATTTGGTGCCATTTGTAACCGAAGAGTTTGCTGCAAAAAAAATTAGTGTCAATAAATTTTATTACGGCTATTTTTCAATTGAATAAGTGAAAACGTTTTTTTTTTACTAACTTTAAATTTCTATAACTAATTTGAAAAATAATGTCAAAGTTTTATTTAATTACTTACCTTCAAATAAAAAGGTTTCAGATGTCATATGCACTGTAGAAGATCTGAAAATAAATAACAATTTCTGTTTGATTTACCGGGATTAAAAAAACATAAAAATAAAAACTTACAGTAGAAAAGAATATTGAAAAAAGCTAGAAATCTCAATAATTTTTAACTTTTAGTTGTAGTACTGTAAAGAAGATTTTATAAAACCGTTGAATTTTACTTTAGTTTCCATTTTTCAATTAGACGTCTAGGTGAAATTTTAGAATTTAATAATTGTCACTATAGGATTAATCAGAAAAGTAGCATTTTTCTTTTTCTTTTAGCAAGGTGTTAAAGGCAAGGTTTTCTATTTTTATAATCAACTTTTTCATATCACTGGAAACAGTTTTCGAAAAAATTTTTTGCAATTTAATAGAAACGAAAAAAGGTGAAAAAATTTACACAGCTGAAGGATTTATTTTACATTCTTAATTTGCCTCTTTGCAATCTTAGGAAAATTTTCCTTGGAAAGACTTAGCATTTTTATCAAACGGTTCTTTATTTGTTCATACGAAAAACATTTGGAGTGATTTGAAAAGTCTCTTTGCTCGTTAATTTAGGTGAACAAAAACAATGCTCATTAACTTTCCTACCATCTCTTGCAGCATCTGTTGCTCGCAATTGCATCAAAAATGGAGAAGACAAATTTTCGCACAAATTTAAAGTTGCCTAATTCTGCGCACAAATTGTAACATTTAAAAGACCGGAAGTAAATTTATTTGTAAGAAAAAACCAGAGAAAAATGTCAAATTTGTCTGAATTTCTATGAGAGTATAAAACGTAAATTTTTAGAATACTAAAGCAAAAGTTGAAATAATATAAAAATAAATTTTTGTTTCCACACAGTAAGAGTTTAGAGCATTCAAATAACTTTTTGACCTCACATTTAAAAACCTTATTTTTAAGTTGTAGGAATAAATGATTTGCATGAAAAAGGGATCACGCAAAAGATCTTCTCGGCATCAGACGTTTTGACATACTGTACAACTTAGGTAGAAAAAAAACTGAGGTTTCTTTTGAAAGAGTATGCTGTATAATAAAAACTGGTTTTAAAAAGTAATTTATCAATGACTTTATTAGTAACGCTAATAATATTTAAGTTTTATATAACAATTCAAATTACTATATGCTGTCACAAGAATTGCAAATCAACATTGCTTTTCTCGCTTTAAAAATTATGTGAAATCTTTGTTCACCAATAGTGTAAAATTTTTAGAAAAATATTTGTACTCAATTAACTGTAGTGTCTAATTAATAAAAAAAATTATTCGGTGATTAATTAATCAAAAAAATGATTCTTACTTGTCAAAAAAATCTTTAAAGACAGATTTATTACTCTTAAGGTACTGTATTTTAGCACCTGAGTTTTCTAAATTTGCATTTTTGTTCGCTTTATTTGAATTTTTTCTCATAAGAACTTTCTTTCATTTACGATTTATGAATTTAATTAGAATATAAAAAATCAAAATTCGCGAGCTTTTTGTTCATAAAACCAGTTCTAAAACTCAAAAAAGTTCACTTGTTTTCCAGAATGCATCGTCCATTGTGGTCAACGATTGGAATGACAAAGTAGCCTTTTGGTTCTTCCTCCAATCTGCCATCCTAAAGATTTCATCTTTCTTTTTTTCTTTTATTTGCTTACTTAAATTTTACTATCGTCTAATAATTCAAACAATGTTGAAATGTGTTTTATTATTTCCCAACTGTTTCTTTAATATAGTAAAACGCAAACGTTATTTGGGCATAAAACTGATGTTTCCATCATCAAGACAACATTTGGATTTGTATAATTTGATCGAACAAAAAACTCGGAGAATTCCAATCCAGTTTGTCCGCCACACGTCTTAAACGCATTATGAAACAACTGCTTTTGTATATAAAGTGTACTATTAAAATTTGATACCTTTTTTATATGTGAATGCAAAGCCGAACTTACTCTATTACTAAAAGTCCAATTTTTCTCGTTTTTGTCATCTGCTTTAACAGTGTGAACGTTGCTTACCTACAACTGTCATCTAATTTAAGCTTACATTAAGATAAATACCAATTTAGAATCATGAATGCGAGGTAGTTTTGACAGTAATAAAGGTAATGACGCATATTGCATGATTTATAACAATTAAGAAAATTTGCAAGTCAGGAAACCTACAATCTGCTTTCCTGTTTTACCGGAGAAGTCAAACAAGCAAGCGCGGATCAAACGAATCTGTACGTTTGGTGCATCACTGAAGACCTTCTCAAGTTTAATTAGGCGAATAATTTTTGAAACCCTAACTCGTCGTTTACGCAACTAAATGACGATACTAAAAGTTTCAAAAAATTTTAGAATAGATTATAAAGTTAGATTTTATGTTTTCACCTCGCTTTTCTTCATAATTGTCAAAGCTTTATCCTTAAAGTACTAAATTTGTGTTAACTTGATTTTCAGTCTGTTAAACTCTTTTTTTGCCGAACAAACATTTTGACTGAAACCTTGTTGGAATCGTGATTCCAATAAACGTCGTGAAACCCAAGATTTGATTCACTCAAGCGAGGTGCCAAGTGACATTGACAGGTCAAATGAATATCTTAAATGTATTTGTTATTTAGTATTTTCACTTCCTCACGTCAAAGATACTCAAAATAAGCTTAAAAACTAAAGTTAACACAAAGCAATAATAATTGTTTGGTTTTTTGAGGAACTAAAAGCAATCATAACATTTGATTACTGCTGACACTGGAAAATTTATATGTTCAAACTAAGAATGATTTACCACAAAATAAAAATTTTAAAGTTTATGCTTTAGATGCAAAATAAAGAAAAAGCTATAACAACATATTTTATTCAAAACCATTTTCAAGAGCCGCTCCTAATCCACCTCGTGACCATTCAACTTGTTGTGGTTGTTCAGTCTGGAAATAGCTCACTAGAGCTGCTAAAAATATGTCATTAAAAAACAAAAGAATTATAACTGAATTTACGTTGTAGTTCGGTGTACGATGAACAGTGCTTGGCCTATTCATTGATGTGTAAGCATTCAACTGCGATGTTCTGGTGGCATAAGTTGAATGAGGAGCTGCAGCAGTTGATGTACGTGGTTCTTCTTCAGAACCATTCGAAGATGTTAATTGTCTTGGCGTATTTTGCAACACATCAGCTTCTTCTACAGCATCCGGCAGACTTCCAACGCCAGTTGCATTGCTAACACTTTCGGACATCAGATGCGAGCCATTTGACAATACTTCTTGTTCTCTAAGTTCGGGATTTGGGTCAGAAGATGAGATAAGTTTCAGGAAAGTTTTTGGAACCAGTCCGCGTTTCCCATTCACATTTTTTGCCAACCACCAGCCATCTGGTCTGCAATAGTTCAAATTATCACAATTTCTAACACATTATATATTGTATAAACGTCTCTTCGAAGTCAGTTTATAAGATCGATTTCTTTCTTTTCTTTAATTACCTTCGAGTTTTTTCTGGGGCTGTTTTTTTTACTTACTTTGTTGTTTACTTTGAAATTTTCTAAATGAATTAAAATTGCAATACCTCTTTGCAAAAAACTTATAATCAGTTGATTAGGTGAAACAATTCATGCAGATTGTTGGTTTTTAGAAACGAAAATTGAAGTGAAACGCTTCATTAATGGCAAGAAAATAGTTTTCTTTTTTTAAAATAGTTTTTCTATCTTAGACTTAACAATGCTGAACTAGAACTGAACTAATCGAAAAATAAGCAAATATTTAAACCTTGTAGCTATGATACTTAACACTTCACCGCTGGTTATACTCAGGTCATTTTCGTCCGCAGCCGGCAAATCAGAGATGACCAGAAATTTGTTATCTTCTGCCACAGCATCGCCGTTATTGTCACTGCGATAATCAACAACCATTAAGAAAAATCATTTCAGTGCAGTCAAAATTTCAAGATTATTTTCATTAAACAATTGGTTGAAAGTTTTACATCTTAAGTTTGTACATAATTCAAATAAAACTGCAATTAAATGGTTCTGATTTGTGTAACTGTAAAACAGTTGCAAAATACCTTTCACTTGTACGATAGTTTCCAAGTTTTGCTCCACCAGTTTTCTTATGAAACTTCAATTCTGTTAACGAATGCTCTATTTCGTGCTAAAATCAGTGAAATTTTGAACGGTAATGATCAGACATGGAGTTTGATGCACTTTTCATCAGACAAAAAAAGCAACCAGTCAAGTGGTGTTATGTCAACAAAAAATAACATGGTTTTATTATTCCGCATCTGAATTCTCTAGTCCACCCCAAACTTTTGAATAATACCATCGGAACAAAATAAGAACCGCAGCAGCTTCACTCAAAAAAAAATATTTTTCTTGAACATACTGTTAACCGACAAACAAACATAATAAAAACCTTGAAATTTTGTGGACTTTGAAGTGAAAAAAGTCATAAAGAAAAAAACCTCTCCAGAAGAAATTTCCTTGCTGCAGTTGGCGTCGTTCATTGAGATTTTTCAAAAAGAAGAAATGCTTGCTGGAACGAGTAAATGCCAAATTTCCCACGGTTTCCATTGACGACCGAAATGCACAGCCTTCCTCAACCAAACTGCTGTATTTTCAA